GTTTCTGCTTCCTAAGTAACATGTGCCACCACACCCTGCTACAGCCCTTTATAAACGTGTACACTTCTGAACCCTCACCCTGAGTGTGGTGAACATCTTTATCACCCAAGGAAAAGTTCCCAAAAAGTGTGGTTTGGGGCTGGAGGCATGGCTCAGTTGGTAGAACACCAGCCAATGAGTAAAAACATCAGATACTGAGTTCTAGTTGGACCAAAAAAAAAAAAATAAGAACAAGTGTGGTTTCTGGTCAGTGTGTCAGCAAGTTGGCCACAAGTGTTGGTAAAGAACCAACCTTGATAAAGCCCCCCTAATGACCCCTGCTCCCTCCCCTGACATTCCCAGCCCCCAAACCACGGGAGTAAGTGTCTAGCACCTGCTGCCTCCCCTCACCCAAGTGCCACCCACATCCCAGCCCAGGCCCCTGGCTTCCGCCTCCCCCCATGCCCCCCAACTGTCACTCATGAAGGTCATGTTGACCTCATGGCCAGATTCCCCGCTCTATTCTTAGTTGTCAACTGCCTTGACCCTCCACGGTATTTGGCAGCGGGAGCCTCTGCTGGCTGGTGTCCTGCCTCCAAGAGCAGAGTCCCCACAGATGGGAAATATTGCCTCCATGAGTGGGAGGGATAGGGACGGGGGGGGGGAGTTTGGGGGGTGGGGGGCCTGGGGGGGGAAGGGGAGGTTGTATATATTCTCTTGGGGGTAAGAATCCTAACAGGAAAGGAATGATTGAAAGCAGAGTATGGTAGTAGTGGCCTCTAATGGAAGCTACCTGGGAGGCGAAAGAGGAGGACTGAGCATTTGAGGCCTGCCTGGGACAGACAGTTTAAGACCAGCCTAGATGGCTTTTTTTCTTTTTTTGTGCTTGTCCTGGAGCTTGAACTTTGTAGGGCCTGGGTGCTGTCATTGGCCCTTTTTTGGTCAAACAAATTAATTGGAGATAACAATCTCATAGACTTTCCTGCCTGGCTGGCTTTGAACCACAATCCTCAGAAGTCAGCCTTCTGAGTAGCTGGATTACAGGCATCAGCCACCTGCACCTGGACAGCCTAGATATCTTAAGAGTATTTCAGAATAAAAATAGAGCTGGGTCAGGCATTGGTGGCTCCCACCTGTAATCCTAGCTACTCAGGAAGCTGAGATCTGAGGATCATGGTTGGAAGTCAACAGGAGCAGAGTCCCTGTGATACTCTTATCTCCAATGAACCACTCAAAAACAAGAAACAGCCCTGTAGCTTGAGTGGTAGAGTACTAGCCTTGAGCAAAGAGGCTCAGAGACAGCACCCAGGCCTTGAATTCAAGCCCCACAACCAGCAAAAGACAAAAACAGAAACAAAACACAACGCTAGGCACTGGTGCCTCACGCCTGCCATTCTAGCTACTCAGGAGGCTGAGATCTGAGGTTCAAAGCCAGACCAGGCCTGAAAGTCTGTGAGACTCTTATCTCCAATAAACCACTCAGAAAAACAGAAATGGCGCTGTGGCTCAAGTGGTAGAGCGCTTCCCTTGAGCTGGCTGAGGGACAGTGCCCAGGCCCAGAGTTCAAGCCAGGACACACACACACACACACACACACACACACACACACACACACACACACACACACACACACACGGACTGGGAATGTGCACACACACACACACACACACACACACACACACACACACACACACACGGACTGGGAATGTGGCTTAGTGCTAGAGTGCTTGCCTAGCATGCATGAAGCCCTGGGTTCCATTCCTTAGTATCACATACACAGAAAAAGCCTGAAGTGGTGCTGTCGCCAAAATTGAAGAGTACTAGCCTTGAACAAAAAGAAGTTGAGGGATGGTGCTCAGGCATTGAGCTCAAGCCCCAAGACTGGCAAAACAAACTGTTAGCATTATACCTACCTTTGGTCCTCAGCTCCACCCATACCTGAGCTCCTCCCTGCCATACAGCTGGCCACTTCCTCTCTCTGCCCAGACTCACCTGAACACCCACCTACCTCATTTCCTTCACCCAGACCCACCCAGACCCTCCGGCTACCTGAATAGGGACAGGTGCCATGTGATCCCTCTCCTGGGAAACATGGTCCCTCTAATGCCTGCTTGCTTCTGGGTGGTCCTCTGGGATGGATGTGAAGGATCCTTTCACAAACTAACAATAACAACAACAGAACACAAAAATCTGCAGAGACTGAAAGTAGCTGACGCTAAGCCCGAAAGGAAAGGTGGAATGTCTGCTAATGATCTTGGATTTCCAAAACTGATAGTGGTGATGGCTACACAACTCTGTGAATATAATAAGAACCACTGAATTATACCCTCCAAGTGGGCAAGGTACGTATTATACAAATTATATCTCAAAAGGCTAAATTAGGAAACAGTAATGTAGTGAAGCATGTGGTGGTACATGCCCGTAATCCCGGCACTGGGGAGGAGGCTGAGTTCCAGGCTAGCCTGAGCTACATAACCAGATCCTGTCTCAATCACATAAACCACGCTGCTTCTGTCTAAATCCAAGTTCCACAATGGAAAACATTTAAGTCTTTTGGAGGCTCACGCCTGCAATCCTCGCCACTCAGCAGGCTGAGATCTGAGGATTACGGTTAGAAGCCAGCTTTGGGCGGGAAAGTCCGTGAGACTCTGATCTCCAATTAACCACCATAAAGCCTGTAAGTAGAGCTGTAGCTCAAGTGGTAGAAAAAAAAAAAAAGGAGAGGCAGCACCCAGGCCCTGAGTTCAAGCCCCAGGACCAGCACACACACAAATTAGCCCTTACCACCCCGAAGGGAACCGCCACAATCTGAGAAACTGAAGCCAGGAAAGGTGTTCCCCCCACTCCCTCAAATCCCACTTGTTAGACGCCCCTGGGTCCCAGTCCCCGCTTTAGCGGGATCTGGACCTAACGCTAAGCGACCGCGTTTGCAGAGCGCTGACGCAGGGGTCGGCTAGTCCCGGGCATGCTGGGAGATGTAGTTCCGTTTCAAACCTGTCGCATCCGGAAAGCTCTACTAATGACCAACTAGGACTCGGGAACCCGAAATCTTGCCCTGTGTCCCTCAGAACCCCGTGGGAAGGGAACTCAGCGACTTTATCCCCTCAATATCCGCAACTCACCTCACACACGACTACTCGTTCCGTCGTCGCTCCCTCCAGTGGGCGCCGACACCGGAAGAAATGCTGTTTACCCGCCACGCCACGCCCACTTCCGGCCGTCAGAGGAGAACGGAAGTGAGGCTGCCCCTAGCTGTGGAGGTGCTCTGCCCGAACCGGTTTCTCGTCTCTTCTTCTCTTCCTCCCTCCGGAAACGGGAGTGACAACTCGAAGGTTCCGGTTAGTGAAACTGGCGCGAATGTGGGGAACGCTTCGTATGTACTAGGCATTTTGCAGTGGGGATGATTTCCTGAGCTTGATTGCTAGGCTTTGCGTTGTCTCTCCCTGGTAGAGGTTTAGAACTAACGATTTCCCCCCAGAGATGAGAATATCTGCTTCCCCAAGTATATGAGCCATTTTTCATGGTGCATCTCCAGAGACAAGAAGACTTTGATCCTATTTTGATAGATAGAGCAAGAGGTCATTCTGAAGAAAAAAACCGTTCAAATCTTCAAATCACCCTCGGGAAACGCAGATTTTACTATCCTGGCTTTTTTATGGGGCTCTCCCTGGGGCCCTTTCATCCTAAGGTTCCTTTAAATACTTTGTCCCTTACCTGAGTCCCGCCCAGGACAGGTAATTGTAAGCTCCGCCCCTCTGCCAGAGACCGGGAACCGGCCTGGTTACCGAGAGTGAAGTACCCCTCCTTTTCCTTTCCCCCTCCCCTCTCCCTTACCCCCCCCTCACAGCTGGTCACAGCTAGCCAAGGAGGTCTACATTAAAAGAGGAAGGGCAGTACTTACAGGTTTGGGCAGGTAAGTAAACATCCCCGGGGACACAGCTTGACTTGGATACCCAGGTATCCTGACCTCCCACCCTTCAGAGAGCTTAGATGTTTTGGACCCCAGACCTAGGAGTCCAGGACGTCTGCCTCCCCATATAGCTTCTGATCCAGAAATACAGGACCTTGCCTCTCCTGTAATCTTTGATCGCTGAGGGTGATATAACAATGGGCAGCTAGGCTGAGGTGGAAATTGACAGGAAGGAAAGAATCTGGGATCACAAGTGCACCTCCTTGGAAGGAAAAGACCTTACTGTGTGCATTAATCGGTGCAGGGTTCTGTAGATCAAGTGGTAGAAATAGGAGGTCCTCCCTTCATACTCATCTCTGGTGACATTTCCACATGTAAATTGGGGGCAAGCTGTTGTACCACTCAGAGCTTTATATACCTCATCCATAAAATGGGAATAACAGGTTTGTGGTAAAAATTACAATGTGTTCATAAAGATCGACAGGCTACGGGCTATGTAAGTGTCTGCTGCTATTTTCAATCAATCACAGAGCTCAGGAAGGGAGGCCTTGCCCCATACCCCAGAGACAGAGGCTCCTGTAATCTTGATGATACCACAAATTCTAGGTGTCCATAAATTATGAGGGGACACCCTTCCCTGTTACTGCTCTATTTGGGATTGACCACATGCCTTGATAACTCATCTAGCGCGGAGCAAAAACAAGGTGAGTGTGTGGGTGCGCCCTGACCCATGAGATTTGGCTCTTCATCTCTTTTCTTCCTCCTGGGAATCCATACCTAGGGATCCAGATCTCAGTCACCTCCCTCTGTTATCTAGGAATGCATTCCCAAACACTCTCCCCTCAGACCTATGAGGCTAAATCCTGTCATCATCCCACAGACCCTAGAGACCAGGTCCCAGTCTTCTTAGACACCCACTGGCCTAGGCTCTAGCTCTCTTCCCTCAGACCCAGGAGTCCAGGCCTCAGCTCTCCTCCTTCAGAACCAGGAGTTCGGACACCAACTTCTTCCCCTAGGACCCCATAATTTTATGAATGTATGTATGTTGGTCGTGAGGCTTGAACTCTGGGCCTGGGTGCTGCCCCTCAGCTCTTCAGCTCAAGGTGAGCGTTCTACCACTTGAGCCACAGTGCCACTTCTAGTTTTCTGAGTGGTTTATTGGAGATAAGAGTCTTACAGACTTTCCTGCTGAAGCTGGCTTTGAACCATGATCCTCAGATCTCAGCCTCCTGAGTAGCTAGGATTACTGGTGTGAGCCACCAGCGCCCCACAGGATCCCATAATTTTCACGTTCTTAAGGCCTCTTAGGGACTCTCTGTTTTTCTGACCTTTGTGTCTGTAGGCCCAGAAGTCTTTCTGGGTTCCCCACATGCCCAGAGCTTCCTGGGCAGCAGCCACAGGCGGATTCCACGAGCCAATCACTGGGACCTGGAGCTGTTCACTCCAGGGAACCTGGAGCGGGAATGTATGGAGGAGAAATGTTCCTGGGAGGAGGCCAGAGAGTATTTTGAGGACAATACATTGACAGTAAGAGCCTTTCTTCGACCTTGGGATCCAGCTGTTCTCCAAGCTCTGGGTGGGGCATCCTAGCCTTTTCCTCCCTCTTGGGGGGGGTGTGGGGGTGTCTCAAATCAGGGTGGGCTGGTTTGGGGAAGATGCAAATCACTCTGATCAATAGCTGCCTCTTCTTTCTCTTCCCCTCATCTCTCTCCAGGAGCGCTTTTGGGAAACCTATACCTATAATGGCAAAGGAGGTGAGTAAGACTGAGACTCTCTCACCCTGTCACTAAGGCACCCCAGCTCACACGAGGCTCTGTCTGTCCCCCCAATCCCAGGCTTCCTTGACACTATAGCCTCTAAGAAATCCACCAGACTGGAATGACATTCAAGGGAGGCCCCAAGTCCCCAGGAAGGGGGGGATCGGCTGGTGGAGGAAAGGGAAACCCACTTGAGCTTTTCTTTGCAATCCAGAGTCTCAGCCACATCAAGCATCTTGGTTGCTAGGGGGCTCCCCCCTAGCAACAGGACCAGGGCAGGAAGCCTGGCCATCTTCACCTGTCCAGTTTGCCTATTCCTAGCCCCTCCTCTTGAGTTGGGAGGCCCCATCTTGGCTGCAGCCTTGTTGCTAAGGGGGGCTGCTCCTTAGCAACGGGGCCTGACCAGGCCAGAAAGAGGAAGCCAGAAGCAGTACCTGGCTGGCTTCCCCTCCCCCATAGCCCTATCCCAGATGCTGAGAGGCCTGGTTGCTAAGGAGTGCTGCTCCCTAGCAACCATACCTAACTGGATGACCCAAGGCCTCCTGCCAGACAGAGGACCCCCCCCCATCCCCTCCTGGCCTGGTTGCTAGGGGTGGATGCACCTTAGTAACGAGCTCTAGATCTGACCTGGCATCTTCAAATTGGAATCTTCTTCATTGCAGCCCTACAGAAACCTAGTGGCTCCTTGAATTCCACCTGCCACCTGCACATATTGAGATGATTTTCTCCTCTCAGTGCACTTTTCTTACAAGGCGCTTATAAGCTGGGGGTTTGCTGGGTGCTGGTGGCTCACCCATTATAATCCTAGCTAAGCCTGGTGACGGTGGCACGTGGCTCACGCCTGTAATCCTAGCTACTTGGAAGGCTGTGGATTGTGGTTCAAAACTAGCCCAGGCAGGAAAGACCATGAGACTCTTCTTTTTTTTTTTTTTTGTCAGTCTCGGGGCTTGAACTCTGGTGCTGGGCATTGTCTCACAGCTCTTCAGCTCAAGGCTAGCAGTCTACCACTTAAGCCACAGTGCCACTTCCGGTTTTCTGGTGGTTTATTGGAAATAAGAGTTTCACGGACTTTCCTGACCGGGCTGGCTTTGAACCATGATCCTCAGATCTCAGCTTCCTGAGTAACTAGGATTATAGGTGTGAGCACCAGCACTCAGCATACCATGAGACTTTTATCTCCAATAAACCACCAGAAAACCGGAAGTGGCCCTATGGCTCAAGTGGTAGAGCATTAGCCTTGAGCTGAAGAGCTGAGCGACAGCGCCTAGGCCCAGAGTTCAGGCCCCACAGACTGGACCCCCGCCCCCCAAAAAAGCTAAGGGTAGTACCCATGCCCTGAGTTCAAGCTCCAGACACACATATGTAGATCAAAGATATTGGTTTATTCTTTGAGGGAAACCATTGCCAAAAGAAATGCTTCCAGCCACACATTTCAAGGCCTCTTAAAGTTCCAAGGTCCTAGTTCCCCCTTTGATTGCTAAAAATGACTGCAAATGCATACCTAGTTATTGGAAGAGGGCCCCTAAATTCCTCCATTGTTATGTGAATTTTTTCTAGTCTCCTGATTGATAGGAGCTGCCTACCAGAGTGCAGAGTGGAAGCTCATACCCCCTAGGTGCTCCACTACCCTAGTTAAACTGAACTTTCACATACACAGTGAGTCCTTTTTAAGTATAACTATATCCCAAACAGTATATGGGATATACTTACACTGGGCCTGGGTGTTGTCCCTGACCTCTTTTGCTCCATGCTAACACTCTACCACTTGGACACTTTGAGCCACAGGGCCATTTCTGGTTTTCTGGTGGTTCATTGGCCATAAGAGTCTCACAGACTTTCCCTGCCAGACCTGGCTTTGTACCATGATCCTCTGATCTCAGGCTCCTGAGAAGCTACAATTACAGGCATAAGTCTGGCACTAAAAATGATTTGTTGTGTATCTAAATGCTAACTTATTATTTGCGGCATCTGTCACTGTTTTGTGTAAGAAGCTTCTCCAAGCTGACACCCATTTGACCTTCAGTTCTGGTCGTGAGGGTCCAAGGGCACAAGAGTGAGGTGAATTGATTGAGGCCATCGGAATAGGAAGTGATCTCCTTTGGCATGTGCTAGTCCAGAAACATTTGGCTCCTTCCACCCCATCTACAGGTCGCGGCCGCGTGGATGTAGCAGGCCTGGCGGTGGGGCTGACTTCAGGCATCCTGCTCATCGTATTGGCCGGGCTGGGAGCCTTTTGGTATCTGCATTACCGACGAGGCCGGGGGCCAGGCCAGCAGCCCAGTCTCAGTCCTCAAGAGTAAGGGGGACTTGGGGAGGTGGAGAGGGAAAGGAGGGATGAGAGTTCTGAGGGAGGGTGTGGTAGTGCGGACTTTAATCCCAGCAAAAGTCCCAGCAACTCAGTAGGGGAAGGTGGAAGGATGTTGAAATCAAGGGCAGCCTGGAAAAATGTATCAAGATACTGTCTCAAAAACAAGATAAACTAACTGTGGGTGGCTCCTGCCTGTAATCTTAGTTACTCTGGAAGCTGAGATCTGAGGATCAAGGTTTGAACCCTGCCAGGGTTGGAAAGTTCTATCAAACTCTTATCTCCAATTAACCACCAAAAAACCCTCCTCCAAACCCTAAAGCAGAGCTGTGGCTGAAGTGGTAGAGTGCTAACTTTGAGCAAAAATGCTCATGGAGGAAGTGGTGCTGTGGTTCAAGTGGTGAAGTGCTTGCCTTGAGTTGGAGCGCTGAGTGACAGGGCCCAGGCTGAGTTCAAGCCCCATGGCCAACAAAAGACAAAAACAACAACAAAAGATGTTCATGGACAGTGCCTAGGTCCTGAGTTCGAGTCCCATGAGTGGAACAAAAGGGGGAAAAAAGTCTGAGAAAATCTCTCTCTCTCTCTCTTTTCACTAGTACCAGGCCTGTCCCTGCTCTGCATGTGTGTCTGTCTGTAACTGAAAGCCTGCCTCTGTGGTTGTTGATTTCCGTCTGTCATTTCCAGTCCTTTCTGCCCGGAGGGCTAGGCTGAAGGTGACCCTCCCTTCCTCTAGTCCATCTCCCTTCCACCTCAGTACTCTTGTAACCCACAGCTGCTACCTCCCTCTTCCCCTCTGTCCTGTTGGTCCCCTTGGCTAACTGTCTCTTCTTCTGACCCCAGGACCTTGCTCACCAGCCCTCTGAGTCCTCCAACGCCCCTGACTCCACCTCGACCCCCAGGCCTCCCCACCTATGAGCAGGCGCTGGCGGCCTCCGGGGTTCACGATGCGCCTCCGCCCCCTTACTCCAGGTGGGAGGCCGGGCTTGTGCTGGGGAGGCGGGCACTGTGGGTGGACGGAGGGGGCGTGGTCGGAATTAGGGCGGGGCTTGTGGATGGGGCGGGGCCTGCGTGGGGAGGACGGAGGCGTGGAGGGTGGGGTTTGTATCCAGACGCTCTGGGATTGGCCCAAGCGCCAAGGGCGGGTCGCGGTGGTCCCGGTTGAGGGTGTGTGTATGTGGGTGTGGGGGGGTCTTTGGCTCACTACTGTATCCCTGTCCTTACAGCCTCCGAAGACCCCCGTAAGGAGCTGCCTCGGTGTCCCGGCTCCCGAAGTTGTACCCCTGTCTGATTCACACTGGACTCCATAAGCTCCCCGCCCCAATTGTTTTGTGGTTGTTTTTTTTTTTTAAAGACTCCTAAAGCTGAGCTTTCCTTTGGGGCGGGTATGGGGGGGGCCGTGGGGGTCGCGGGACCCGAGGCCTCCCCTGGCCCACGTGTTTCCGTCGCGTACGGATACACGCACGTCCCCAGCCAACGTGTTTCGCGGGGCACGGGCATCTGCCTCCCTCGCGCGCCCCCCGGATCGCGGGACCACCGGGATCACCAGCTTCCCCCCCACCCCATTGCGATTAGCCGTGCGCCCCTGCCGACTCCAACCCCGGGCAAGATGACCAGAAGTGACTGGATCCCGGCCCCTCCGGTGCCACGGGGGGTGGGGGAGGGCACGCACACGCAGGGTGCCCCGCAACCAGGGCGAGGGTGGGGGGGCACGTTTGTCAGCGTGTACTACAGTGTGTGTCGGAGGGGGTGAAACAGCCGTGTGGCATCGGGTGAGGGGGGGATCGGAGTGGACCTCAAATCCCTTTGGAGAGGAAACCAGAAAAAAAAAAAGCACTGAAACAATGCAAAAATAAAAGAAAATAAAAGAAACCACGAAGGAGCAGCTCCGCGTTCTTCGGGCGCTTCGAGCCGGTTCTCGGTACGAATGAGGCGCCCTGCACCCCCAGGCTCTCCAGCTCGCTCTCGCTCTCTCCTCTCTCTCTCTCTCTCTTTTTTTCTGCCTTTGCACGGGATTGTGGGAGGAAGCGGAGCGCAGCCAGACACCCCGCCGCCCGCCCCCCTTCCCCTCCCCCTCCCCCAGCCGCCTGGTGCAAAGATGGCTGCACCGTGAGCGCAGAGGAGGAGGAGGCGGCGGCGGCAGCGGCGGCGAGAGAGCGAGCACCCGGCGCCTGCACCCACCCCGGGGCCGCCCGGGACGCCCCCTCCCTCCCGGGAGCGCGCCCACCCTTCTCTCTTGCAAAGCGCCGGGGCAAAGGCGGAGACAGCGGGGTCCCTCCTCCCCCCCTCTTCCCTCCTCTAGGGGGAACCCCCCTTCCCCCCTTCTTAGCTCCGCGGCTGCACCCCCCCCTCCTTGCCCGCCCCTCTCCACCCTTGCCCCCTCCCTTCCCCGCCCCGGGCCTTCCCGGGCCTTTGGCGGCTTTGCAAAAGGGGAAAAAAAAGAGAGAGAAAGAGAGAAAAGGAGGAGGAAAAAAAAAGCGGAGGGAGCGGCGGCGGAGGAGAGCGCGCGCGCGCCCCTCCCTCCCCCTCCCTCCCTCCCCCTCCCCCCAATTTCCACCGCGGCCAATTCATGGACAGGAACTACCCCAGCGCCGGCTTCGGGGACCCGCTCGGCGCCGGGGCGGGATGGAGTTACGAGAGGTCAGCGAAAGCTAGGTAAGGAGCTGCGGGTGGCTTGGAGGAAGGGGATCCAGGGGTGTGTGTGTGTGTGTGTCCGGGAGGGGGGGTCCCCCCTCTTCCTAGCCGGGCCGGGCCGGCCTAGCGACGCGCGTGCATCGCAAACTCCCCTCCGGCTGGCCAGGGAGCGGCCTTCTTGGGTTTGGTAACAACGCCGCCGCCCCAGTTTGCAAATTCCGCCAAAGCCAGCTGCGGCTTGCAAAAGGAGAAATGCAGCGGGAAAATAGGGGTGCAGAAACCATCTCCTACGGGGAGGCCTTCCTTGAATCGGTTGGGATGGAACTGGCGTAGCAAGGCCTGGACCTCTCTCCCCCCCCCCTTCCCCACCATCCTTGAATTCCCAGCTTGCTGACCCCTCCCCCCTGCTGCCCGGGCTCTGCTCTTGCAAAGGTGGAAGGAGAAGAGAATGAGAATACAGACTTGGGGGGGCGCGTACCCCTTCTCAGGTCCTATTGTTCCGGGACTAAGCGAGGTTGGGTCACTCGTCGGCTTCCCCCCCCCACAAAAATTACCCGCGCAGAGTGGGCTCGCGGCCCCGCCCCCTTCTTAAGCTAGGGTTCTGTGTGTGTGTGTGTGTGTGTGTGTGTGGTGTGTGTGTGGGGGTCTGGCCTTGGGACACACCCCCTTTAACTCCCCCCATCTTCCCACAGCCCCCCCAAAAAAGCTGAGAATCTTGAGTTGCTAAGGCCACCCAGTGTTTTGCCCTCTTGAGTCTGGGCTAGGATTTGGGGCTTCTTCACGGGGACAGTGGGATGTTTTCCATGTGAGGGTGTGTGGACCCCGTGCAAGCGTGGTCCGGCCGCGAGTTCATTCTGCCCACCCCCTTCCCCGATACTTAGTGTCGCATCTTCACTCTTCACCTCCGCCTGAGCCCCTCCCCCCACACCTGGGGTTCCCACAGTGTCAGGATTTTCCTTGTGGGGACACCCCCCCTCCCCGCACTGCTCTCAATATCTTTTCTTCCCTACGGGTGAATTAGATACCAGTTTGTACACATACCTGGCCTTCCCAGGGCCCTTACATTTGAACCTCAACCCCTGGGATGGATGGCCTTCCTGTCTGTACTTGTTATCTGGTACTCCCCCCCCCTTCCTCTCCACCTCCACCCCCTCCTGCCTTTTTTGGGGAGCAATCTATCTCCTCCTGAATTGTCTCAGCACCTATGAGGTTCAGAGCTCACGCTGCCTGCGGCATGGGGGGGTATCCATGTGCAACCCCTCTGGGGTTGTCCCCATGATCTGTCACTGGTGGGGTGGCGGGGTCGGAACTGCACGAGGAGGAAAGGCTGGGTAAGAGGACCACGCCTTTCACGTTTTCAATTCCGGATGCTTTCTCTCTCTGACTGCTGGACTTGGTGTGCATGCTTGTGTTTGCAAACTTGAGACTATCCAACTCCCCCCCCCCCCCCGCTTCGGCTGGGAGCTGCTTCTGCGACAAGGGCACCTCAGTTCCCTTGTCTTCTCCTCTATAGGGCCCAAGGTTCCTTGGGATCACCCCTCCCGTCAGCTGGAAGGTTCCCCCTTCCTTGAGGATTTCCTGAGTTCCCTTCTCCCCGGGGTAGCTTGGGATGACATTCTGATATCTCTCCCCCTTTGCCCCGCAGCTTGGTCTATGGCAGCTCCCGGACCTCGCACCCAGAGACGGACATCTTACACCGCCAGGCCTATGCGGCCCCCCACCCACTACAAAGCTATGCCACCAACCACCACCCGGCAGGTACGGCCCGACCCGCCAGGCTGTGCCTGGCCCTCCCTCGGTGGCCTCTGATTGGCTACGGAAAGTTCCACCCCTCCTAATTGGCCCTGCGTTGTGTCGGGGCCCGCCCCTTGCTACCTTTCCTCTGATTGGTTGCCTCTGAGCTGCTGGTGCCTGTTTAATTTCACACCCGATTCGTCGGTTCTGTACCTAGCTCCGCCCCTTTCTTTTCTAATTGGCCCCGACCTTTCAGACCCAAATCCCACCTTCTCTTCCAGGCTTTTCTGTTTCTCCCCAGCCCACCCCAAGTCCATTTCCCCTCTGGCTTCGCCCCATCTGCTTGGCTGCTTTGCTCTGTGTATTTTCATTTTCCCTCTGATTCCCTTTCTTTCTGATTGGCTCCCATTTCCTTCCATCCTTCCTCCCCTCCCCTTTTTAAAAAAGATTTCTCTACTATCTGATTCGGCTCCTTTAGCTTTGTCTCCTACCCTCTAGTAGTTCCCCTTCCTTTGATCCTGCTCCCTGTCACCCTTCCATTCCCTCCTCCATCTCCCCCTCCCCCCCCCAAACACACCAGACTGTACTGTCAGTCAGGTTCCTGGACCTCCTGGTTGATTCCTTCTCTACCTTCCTCCTCATCTTTTGTTTAGATCCTCTCCTTGTGGCTTAACTCCTTTCGACTTGTCCTGCAGACTTCCCCTTCTTGCTGTAATTGCCCAAATACTTGGGTGTTTCCCCCACCACCACCACCACACACCCCCAGTCTTACTTAGGGGTCAGTCACATCTGAATTTTTCTTTTCCACTGTCATTTTCCACCTGTCCTTCACAGTTGTATTGTACCCCATCCTGCTTTATTGAATCATTTGTCTTTCCTTTTCTTGGTCTTATCTCAGCTTGCTTGGTTCTGCCCATCTTCTCCTGTTTGGATTTTTCCTTCTGTTCTATCCAGCCCCTTTCCTTTTTCTCTCTTTACTCTCTAACACCCCTCTCTCAACCCCCACCCAACCTGGCTGACTGCCTCCTGTCTCTGGCCAGGCCTCTCTGGACTGTTTGACACTGGCCTTCACCACGCGGGCTCAGCAGGGCCCGACGCCTCCGTCATGAATCTCATCTCGGCCCTGGAATCCCGGGGCCCCCAGCCTGGCCCTTCTGCCTCCTCTCTCCTCTCCCAGTTCCGCAGTCCCTCGTGGCAAACAGGTAAGCCCAAGCACCTGCCCTGGAGGGCTAAGGTAGGACTGGTTTGTGATTCACTTTGACCTACAGTGTTCTCCATCCTCCCCAGCCATGCACACACCAGGCCCCACGGAGCTCTTCATCTCGGGCGCCCTACCGGGTTCCAGCACCTTTCCGTCCTCCTCTGCCCTGTCGGCCTACCAGCACCCAGCTTCCTTTGGCAGTCGCCCCTTTCCAGTGCCCTCGTCCCTCAGCCTCCAGGATCCCCCATTCAGTCCTCCTGCCAACGGGCTCCTGTCCCCTCATGACGTGCTCCATCTGAAGCCCTCGCAGGCCCCCACGGTGCCCTCCTCGTTGGGCTTTGAACGCCTAGCGGGGGGTGGTGTCCTGGGACCTGCTGGTCTTGGCCCAGCGCAGACCCCTCCTTACCGTCCTGGCCCCCCAGATCCTCCTCCACCTCCCCGCCACCTCCCAACTCAGTTCAATCTGCTGGCTTCCTCTTCTGCTGCTGCGGCTGCCGCTGAACAATCCTCCCCTCAACTGTATAACTTCTCCGGGGCTGCCCCAGGCCCGCCACCCTCCGAGCGGGCTCTGCCCCGCCAGGACACCGTCATCAAACACTACCAGCGGCCGGCCAGCGCCCAGCCCCCGCCGCCCCCACCCCCAGCCCATGCCCTCCAGCACTACCTGAGCTGTGGAGGCAGCTACCCCTCCATGGGTCACCGTGCCAACTTGGCCTGCAGTCCCCTAGGTGGTGGGGAGCCCTCCCCGGGTGCTGGTGAACCCAGCAAGGCTGGGCCTAGTGGGGCTACAGCTGGGGCATCGGGCCGGGCTACGGGCCCTGAGGCCGCCGGGAGTGGGGGTGGAGGGGGTGGGGGTGGAGGTTATCGCCCCATCATTCAGTCACCCGGCTATAAGACAGGCAAAGGTGGTTACGGAGCTGCCACTGGAGGTGCCAACAGGCCACCGCCACCCCGCTCAACTGCCACACCCAAATGCCAGAGCCTAGGCGGGCCAGCGGGGGCCTATGCTGCTGCTGCCGCCGGGAAAACCTCTGGGGCTGGCGGGGCTGGGGGCCAGGCCTATTCCCCTGGGCAGCCCCAAGGGCTTCTGGGACCCCAGGCCTACGGGCAGGGGTTTGGCGGGGGCCAAGCACAGGACTTGAGCAAAGGCACCGGCTACTCTGGAGGTCCCCCACAGCCCCCCAGTGGGCCCCCACCTCCTGGCCTAGCCACTTGTCAGAGCTACTCTCCAGATCAGCTTCAAGGGCAGCTGTATGGGGTGCAGAGCGAGCCGTACCCGGGGCCAGCTGCCCACTCTCAGGGGCTGCCCACTGCCAGCCCCTCGCTAAGCTACAGCACTGGCCACTCCCCGGCCCTCTCAGGCCATGGAGGCGGCTGGGGGCCCGGCTCCTTGGGGGGCGGCGGGGAGGCCAGCCCCTCTCACATCATCCGCCCTCTCCAGTCACCACCAGCTACTGGCCGCCCCCCTGGAGTGGGCTCCCCTGGAGCCCCAGGCAAATATCTGAGCTCTGTCTTAGCCTCGGCTCCCTTCCTGGCGCCCCCCGGAGCTGGCAGCTATGCAGCAGGAGCCGGTGGCTACAAGGGCAAGGGGGATGGCTCCGAGCTGCTGGCCGGCCCTGGGGGACCCCCGGCCGAGCGCACCGAGGATGAGGAGTTCCTCATCCAGCACCTCCTGCAGGCGCCCAGCCCCCCGCGGACCTCAGGGGCGGACGGCTTGGTGGGCGAGGACGGGGCGGCAGATGCCTCCAAGGGACTTGGGGGAAGTGGTGGGGCCGGGGGACCACCAGGTACGCCCTACGAGTTGGCCAAGGAAGACCCCCAGAGGTACCACCTGCAGAGTGTCATCCGGACCAGCGCCAGCCTGGATGAAGGCGCCACGGCCGCCCTGGAGCTGGGCCTGGGGAGGCTGAAGGAGAAGAAGAAGGGCCCGGAACGGGGTGGCGAGACCCCTGAGGGGCTGGCCACCTCCGTCGTCCACTACGGGGCGGGTGCCAAGGAGCTGGGGGCCTTCTTGCAGAAGAGTCCTCCACCCCCACCTCCCACCGGCCAGCCCACCCAGCCCACCCCCCACGGCCTCCTCCTAGAGGCTGGAGGCCCTGACCTCCCATTGGTGTTACCTCCGCCTCCCCCTCAGCTGCTCCCCTCAGTCCTCAGCCATGCCCCCAGCCCCTCTCCCAGCGCCCCCAAGGTGGGTGTCCACCTCCTGGAGCCAGCTACCCGCGACGGGGCACCCCAGCCACCCCCACCACCCCCGCCGCCCATGCCCCTGCAGCTCGAGGCTCACCTCCGCAGCCCCCGGCTGCGCCCCGACGAGAGTCTGGAGCCGCCAGGTGCCATGCAGGAATTGCTGGGGGCTCTGGAGCCACTGCCCCCGGGGCCTGGTGACACTGGCGTGGGCCCCCCAAACTCAGAGGGCAAAGATCCCGCGGGGGCCTACCGGAGCCCCAGCCCGCAGGGTCCCAAGGCCCCCCGCTTCGTGCCTCTCACCTCCATCTGCTTCCCGGACTCCTTGCTCCAAGATGAGGAACGCAGTTTTTTCCCCACCATGGAGGAGATGTTTGGGGGCGGGGCAGCGGATGACTATGGCAAGGCTGGTCAGCCTGAGGATGATGGGGACCCCAAGGCGGGCGCTGGGCCCCCTCCCGGACCTCCAGCCTACGATCCTTACGGGCCTTACTGCCCAGCTCGAGCGTCAGGGGCAGGGCCGGAGACTCCGGGACTGGGCTTGGACCCCAACAAGCCCCCTGAACTGCCTTCCACTGTCAACGCCGAACCTCTGGGCCTGATCCAGAGTGGACCCCATCAGGCGGCTCCGCCACCCCCACCTCCCCCCCCCCCGCCAGCCTCCGAGCCCAAGGGCGGCCTCACCTCACCCATCTTCTGCTCAACCAAGCCAAAGAAGCTACTCAAGACTTCGTCCTTCCACCTCCTCCGACGCCGAGACCCCCCCTTCCAGACGCCCAAGAAACTCTACGCCCAGGAGTACGAGTTTGAGGCTGATGAGGACAAGGCCGATGTGCCTGCAGACATCCGCCTCAACCCCCGGCGCCTCCCCGACCTGGTGTCCAGCTGTCGATCGCGGCCAGCACTCTCGCCCCTGGGCGACATCGACTTCTGCCCACCCAACCCGGGTCCTGACGGGCCTCGCCGCCGCGGCCGGAAGCCCACCAAGGCCAAGCGGGATGGCCCTCCCCGGCCGCGGGGCCGGCCCCGCATCCGCCCTCTGGAGGGTCCCACCATCCCCGGACCAGCCTCTGCCTCCATGGCCAGCGATGGGGCCAAGAAGCCTCGGGGGCGGGGCAGAGGTCGAGGCCGGAAGGCTGAAGAGGCCGCAGCCACTCGGTTGGAGCCACTGAAGCCACTAAAGGTAAGTGGGTGGGGCTTGGGCTTTGGGAATCCACAAAGGAGAGTAATAGGCTGTCATCAGTGTGGCCTCCATTTTTGGGCTTCTGGAGGCCCCTAAAATCTGTGCTCTTCAGTCTGAGGGGGAGTGGCGCTTCAAAGCTAACCTGATGAGATTTGAGAGTTTCAACTTGACCTCTGGCTGGAGGTGGGGATGGAGGGGAAATGCAGGGTCAGGTCCTAATGGGGGACAAACAGCCGGATCCTTTGTGCTGGTTAGGGGTTCGAACTAGCTAGCAGTAAAGAGTTTGAAGAGTCTTCTGAGGGAGAGGGTTGGATTGTGTTACTTTGGGTTCCTTGGTCTGAGAGAGGAGGCTGATACTGGATCCCTGGGTCTGAGGGAGGAGGCTGGGATCTGGTCTCAGTCTGAGGGAAGAGGGCTGGAGTTTGGAAACCTGGGTCTGGGGCTGGAAGGTTTGGGGTGTGGACCCTTGGATCTGAGGGAGGAGGAAGGGGGTCTGGATCCCTGGGTCTGAGGGCGGAGAGGGGGTCTGGATTCCACAGTCCCTGGCAGGCCAGGAGCTTGTATTCCTGGGCCTGAGAAGGGAGGCTGGGGTCCGAACTTGTGGACCCTGAACTCCTGTACCCTTCTGTCTAGATCAAGCTGTCTGTGCCCAAGGCTGGTGAGGGTCTGGGCGTCTCGTCAGGTGATGCCATTTCCAGCGCTGACCACAACAGCCTGGACTCCAGCCTGACTCGGGAGAAGATTGAGGCCAAGATCAAGGAGGTAGAGGAGAAGCAACCGGAGATGAAGTCGGGCTTCATGGCCTCCTTCCTGGACTTCCTCAAGTCGGGGAAACGCCACCCGCCGCTCTACCAAGCAGGCCTGACGCCCCCCCTCAGCCCCCCCAAGAGTGTGCCACCTTCCGTGCCAGCCCGAGGCCTGCAGCCCCAGCCACCCACCGCTCCCGCTGTGCCGCATCCGCAGCCTGCTGGGGCCTTTGGGCTGGGCGGCGCGCTGGAGGCAGCGGAGAGTGAGGGGCTGGGGCTTGGCTGCCCTTCGCCCTGCAAACGGCTGGACGAGGAGCTGAAGCGGAACCTGGAGACGCTGCCATCTTTCTCCTCCGATGAGGAAGACTCCGTGGCCAAGAACCGGGACCTACAGGAGAGCATCTCCTCGGCCATCTCTGCCCTGGATGACCCACCCCTCGCTGGACCGAAGGACACTTCCACCCCGGAGGAGCCACCGCTGGCCACCACCACGGCTGCAGTCCCAGGACCTCCGCCACCTCCTCTCCCTGGGCTTCCCAGTGCCAACAGCAATGGCACGCCCAACGAGCCCCTAGAAGGTGATCCAGGGGTGCAGCAGGGTTGGTGCAGCTTGCACACTGTGCAAGGCTTCTGGTCACTTGGCCGATGATGGCAAGGTTCATATTTGCCAAAGGAGTTTTCCTAATTGAGGGCAAGCTAGTGTGTTTTTTGTGTTTTTGTGTGTGTGTGTGTGTAGGTGTGTGTGCATGTGTGTGTGCGCACGTGCCAGTCCTGGGCCTTGAACTCACAGCATGGGTGCTGTCCCTGAGCTTTCCATTTCTGGCTTTTTGGGTGCTTAATTGGAGATAAGAGTCTCATAGACTTGGCTCCTAGGGGCTGGCATTGAACCGTGATCCTCACATCTCAGCCTCCTAAGAAGCTAGGGTGGCTGGTGTGAGACACCAGGGCCTGGCTCAATGAATGTGTTGCAAATGTCTGTCTGTAGTTTGCTAGTGGGGCCCAGGCTGTCTTCTGGGGGCAGGCCAGGCCACAAGGATGTGGACATGTCCTAGGGACTGGGGGGGGGTGGTCTGCAAGAGGCTCTAGGAGTCAGCTGTGTGGTCTGGGGATGAGGCTCAATGGTGGAATGCGTCCCCCAAAAGGCTGAATCATTGAAGAGAGGGTCGTGTCCAGAAAGGGACAGGAAGATGCCCCAGGTAGAGAGACTTCGAAGGCTGCTCAGCCTTGTGGCAGGCAAGAGGGAAAGGCCTGGCAGCCTGGTAGGGCTTTGATGCGGGTCTCAGTGCTGAGGCTGAGGTTTAAGCTCTGGGCCTGGGCACCATCCTTTAGCTTTTTTTTT